TATAAGAACTTGTGTGCATTCAATGAAATTGCCGAGCAGTCGGGTTAGAACAGATAAAAGGGAGTCCTTTTTCCCCCAAAGAGTGATTCACACATGGAATTCACTGCCACGGGAGGGGATGGCGGCTACAAGCATGGACGGCTTCAAGAGGGAATTAGATTTAATTAAAAAGCATGCTGCGGCATCCAGTGAAAAGGAAGACTAAAATGGGAGGGCTTCTTGTGTCCTAGCCCCACTGCTGGACCTCCTGATGGCCCCTGGTATTTTTGGCCACTGTGTGACAGAGTGTTGGACTGGATGGGCCATTGGCCTGATCCAACATTGGCTTCTCTTACGTCCTTATGTGGACTTCTCAAAATGGGCTGAAAGGTGAGGTGTGAACAAAAAACTAAATAAACGCAGCCTTCCTAGTGGGGGGAAATGTTCCTGAAAACTGCAAATGAACCCGGTTGAGGATGGACGTGACAAAGGGGGTCTGTTGAACCAGTGCATTCCTGGCCTGGCGTCAGGAGTCAAGCCAGAGCTATACTTCTCCTTTGACAAACTAAAATTGGCTTCTTGTAGAAATCGGCATATCCTATAACTTTCCTTGTCCCCGTCTTTCTCTCGGTCTCTGCCCTGCAGGGTTCTTGGCAGCGTCTCCCAGTTCGAAGAATTCGGCCGGGTCTTCCACTGCCCCAAGAACTCCCCCATGAACCCGGCTCACAAATGCTCCGTCTGGTGAAGCGCAAACCCACTCCTCGCCCCGGTGTGTGCCAAGGTCCCTGCTGGATCCGTCGCTGCTCTATTCCTTGCCCACTGGCTGGACGGAGGGGGGGGAAACTGTGCCTGCCGCTCCTATCTGGCCCCGTTCTCTGGGATTCATGGACAAACCGGACAGACTCCTGATGCCTGTGGGGAAGGGAAACTGGATCTTTTCGGAACTGGCCTCCTGCTTCGCTCCCTGCCTTGCCCGGATCAGTGTGCACCTGGGTCGGGTCGTCTGCTTTGAGAAAGTGCAGAGGGGGGGTGGCCAAAAATGGGCGATGGCGTCAGGGCAGGCCTCTCTCTACCGGCCTAGGCCCAGCCGTTACCGTGGCAACAGAGCAGGCCGCGTCAGGCCCATTTCTCCCACCAGCCCTAAAAAAAATGGCCACATTCTGCCTGCCATTCGACAGGGACAGAGCCTGCCAAATTCACTCAAAACTCTATTCCTGACTTCCAGTCCTGCTTCTCAGTTCTGGCAAATCCCTGTCTTTGGCCCCAGAACAATGGGGGGGGGGACCCTTCTTTGAAAATGGGCAGAACCAACCTACAGGTAGAATTCAGGAAGTACAGCTGCTGTCCAGAATATAGAGATAGGTTGCCCTGAATGAAATAGTGGCTTCAGAGAGGGCAAACTCTATGGTATACCACAAAGTCTAGGAGCGACGGAAGCCCTAGAGTGACACGATATCCCCAACTGAGCCGCATCCTGTCCACAATCCCCAGGTACTGCCCCTCCCAAACCTCCAGGAATTTCTCAAGCTGGAGTTGGCAACCCTAGGAGAACCAGGAGCCCTGGGAGGGAGCGGATAGATCGCCACACGCTCGATCTGTGCCACTTAGCCTGGCAGCCGTGCTGTGGCCCAGACACCTTCCCCCTGAGCTAAAGCACGACTGAGCGGAGGCTACAGCACAAGGTTGCTCTAGGAGGCAAGGGAGGCCTGGCCGTGGAAGGATTCGCACTCAGCCCTCTTCGGAGTCCTGCCTCCTGTCCCCATCGCCACCAGTCCCGGCCAGCCGGTGGCGCTGTCTCGGCAGCCAGGGCAGAGCGGCTCTCTGTACAGATATTTCGCGCTGTATTTTTCTGCTGCTATGTTGAATAAAATGGCCAGAGCTGTTTTGTCTGCATGGGCAAAGGGGTTCATCGGTTCCTTGGCTGGGTGGCCAGACGTAAATTGGCGTTATCTTGCGGGTGAAGGAAATGGCAAGCTCCGCATCTCACCCAATTCCTGGCGTTTGCAAGCCACTTTGAATGGGAAATGCCAGTTGCCACCTTGGAAAATGCACATGCTTAGGTTTTGGAGAAGAGGAGGAGGAGGAGATTGGATTTATACCCTGCTCTTCACTCGGAGTCTCAAAGCAGCTTACAAAGTCCTTCCCCTCCCCCTCCCCACAACAGACACCCTGTGAGGTAGGCGGGGCTGAGAGAGCTCTTTCCAGGACTGCTCTTGATAGACCAGCTCTGAGAGAACTTGTGACTGACCCAAGATCACCCAGCTGGCTGCATGTGGAGGCATGTTTTTTTGGGGGGGGGATTCCACACTTGGGAGGTAGCTACGGAAGACACAAATCTCTGACATCCTGAGCTGTACACGGATGAGTAGATTCGGATCTGGTAGCACCTTAGAGAACCACAAGATTTTTTGGGGGGTATAAGTTTTCGAGAGTCAATTCTTCCTTCATCAGACTCTTGAAAGCTTATACCACCCCCCCAATCTTTCTTTGATTTCCGACAGCTTATACCAGGAGTCCCCAACGTGGCGCCCGTGGGCGCCAGTATGCTTGCCAGCACCTTTTCTGGCACCCGCCCAGTGTTTTGACGAAGTGGGTGGGGCGAGGTAGGGCTTTTGCCCAGCAAGGCTTCTGATTGGCTGCTGGAGATTTGATTGGCTGTGCAGATTTTTTAAAAAATGCTGCTTTGGCGGCAGCTGCTGCCACAGCACAAGGATCTACACTGCATGACTGGCCAGGCATCTCTATACTAGACTGGAGGACGGGGGGACCGAAAAGACTTTACTGGCATCAGAGCCAATAGGATGTAGGCAGGGCTGCTCAACTTCAGATCACTGTTTCCTATGACAGCATTTTAAAAATAAATGTGTACACCCAAAAAATCCAGACTGCGTTGCTGAAGTTAAGCCGTGGCCAGTATCTTTGTGGCTGGCTCCGCCTCCTGCGGCAGCCCTTTTGTGGTTGTGCCCACCACCCTGTGCCAGAATTTCAAAGGTGCCTGCAGGCTCAAAAAGGTTGGGGACCCCTGGACTAGAAACTGGGAAAGCCAGATTCAAATCCCCGACTCTGCCGTGGGAGCTCACTGGGTGACCTTGGACCAGTCACATAGTCCCTCAGTCTAACTGGTCTCAGAGGGTTGTTGTGAGGGTACCCCTTCCAACTTTTATACATGTTCCTGTGCTGGGAATGGCTGCCTGGGCTGCCATATACCCACCCGGTATGCCCTTTAGCCTACTGCTTGAGTGCTCCTGCCCTCCTCCCCAGTGGCCTCTCCATGAATGCATCTAAACATGGAGAG